GAGAGGTCGGTGACCTAACTTACGCTTCCTCAAAGCGCAAAGCTACGGCAGCCCCGCTTCACCATGCGTCTAATGGGAAAGAACTGAGTTTCGTTCTGACTCGACTTGAATTATGCCCACGTTTTAAGTATCAACGCTTTCGAAGGGAGGTGGGGTTATAAAATACGGCTGATGGCTGACAATATCAAATTCATGGAATTGCAGAACGCCGTATAATCACTTACGACACGAAAATAATTGACAGTACGCGGAGATATCGAATAAGTTAGATACCGATATTATCTACGTGTGTCGTGCGACAGGGACACGTCAAATGTTTTCCAGCTTTCATGTGAAGTTTGAGGACTTTGACAGCGTGGAATGCCGTTTAATCCTAGACTAAAGTTTGAGAAAAATAATTCCAAGGCATTGTTTAGCTGGAATGTCATATGCCATAGATCGATTGAAAGAGGAAGACATGTGTCGCCGCGTACGAGAAGTAAGGCGGAATCTTCAAGGATCCAGGGTATCAGGATTTGATGACAGTTTTCCGCTTGAAATGGGAGCCATCGTCTGGGACTCATGCTTATAAGCCGAGTATGTCATAACTATTTCCTAACTATACCGAAATATAAAATTTCAAGTGCACAAGAAAGCTCCGACAAAGCACTCCTTCTGTTTACGATGAAAGCGCATTAAACCATGTGGGTAGGGAATATCACTAACTCGGGTTGCAGACGAGACCAAGCATCCACAAGGCGAGCGTGCTCGTCCGGATGCGAGAGCTGTAGGGCTGCGGGATCCTGAAAGCCACACATACAGTAATCAGCAAGTGCCTGGCGCTAGCACTCCAAGGCGCCCAACTTTACCTCAGCAAAGCACACAAAGATCGTCGCTACGATCGAGTCTAGGATTGAAGACATAATTGTGCACATGGCGTACCCAATTGACGCACACGCTACGAATGTTAAAAGCACAACATTGAAAGTTTCTGATCTCATATACAAGGCAAGATCATCGGAATTAGCACGCAATCTGTTCGAATGCAAAGCAAACGCGAGTTACATACGACACTCGTCCGGGTGATCAGCCAACTCGCCCGGAGTGCATCTCAGCGTTATTTGCAGCCATGCCGATCCAATGACTCCTGACACGGTGCCTATAATCATAATATAGGTGTGCATGTTTAAATCATGGTAGAACTACCTTGTAGATAGTAAGAAAAGTGCCATACCTACGACCAGGGACCCTACTGAAAGGACGCTCGTGATAAGCGAGTCATTTATAAGGGAATTCCAGCCACGGTCCCGAAATAATTGCATTGTGTCTGTCCCAGCTTGCCAAAAGGTTTTTCCATGAAGCGCGACCTGGCAAAATGCGTACTTATTGAAGTAGTTCATGTTGCGCATTGCAAGTTTGACAAGAAACTCGAGAAAAGCGTTGGCGCTGCCCTTGGCTTTCCGTCGCGGAGTGGATAACAAAAGCATGTGCAAAGCGTTAAGCGCAGCGACCACCAGTGAACCGACGCAAATCGACCCTAGAGACGTCGTCAGCGTACGAATTTGCGCCCGCTGGATCGTGTTAACATCATGAGCACCATACCACCACTCGCCCACTGCACCGGCTGCAATACAGTGTACCACATTTTTTGCCACCTGAACAAACCAGATGAAGCTTGCACCACATCCCGTGTTAAATTTAATGAACAAGTATTTTTAATATGCGTCTCAACAACGACGCACCTTAGTAGCATGAAGAAAAAGCATATATTTCCGTAAGAATTCGAGTCATGAAAGTGAACCACTGACTTAGCGAGGACGCCAACAACAGCCACGCCCCAAATTACCACCCACGCTATGAGTGCAAGCAGTGTCAAATGCGCTGATGTAATTGCACCAGGAAAAAAACGCAGAATACGAGATGCTGCTGCCAAATTTGAGGCTGCGAAGGCGATGGATCGACGTACTGACGAGTAGTACGAGATGATTGTGAGAGCGAAAAACAAGTTGACGAAGCCGATAGCTTTGCCTGCCATACCGGAGTCGTAAAATCCTGCAAATGATGCGGCAAAGAAAGCCAAAATGCTACATTTTAGCGTCCAAGAGATGACGCGCGCCGCGTGGTTTTGTAGTATCTGCAGCCATAGTGCTGACACGCCACCACCGATGCACGAAGTTGCCATGAATAGGAGAAAGATTTTTAAACCGTGTGAGGAATTGTCCTCACGGTGAATTGTAAAGAATATGCTTGATACGTTTGGAAGGCCAACAAAGAGCTATAAAGCAACCAAAGTCCAGCATCTGATTAAAACATTATAATTTGACTTCATATTGACACCGGGCTAAACGCACCCCAACGATAACTATGGCAGCACAATTGGCAGCAAAAGCCACAGCAAAGATGTAGTCTTTCCACTCATCACGACGTTTGGTTGGAGATTGTTGGTGCACCTTCTCCAACAACATCTCCTCATCCGCGGAAGATGACAGCTCCATGCTGGCGTGACGTCGAGAAAAAAAAGAAATACAAATTCTCAGAGATCCAATACCTAAAAAGTGTTAGTTTTGACTAATTACGATGCGGGAGTTTCGAAATCGAACATCACTTCAGATTTCGCGATGGCGCAGCCCGGCGAGTTCCTTACAAATCTTACGCTAGATGGTGTACGCGAAGGCGCCTACATGCTTTGTAAACACTCTGACGATTTGCTAGGTCACCACGCCCGGCAGATTTTTCGCGAAAAAGCAGCATCAATGCGCGCAGAAAACAGTATCTACTATTACCTCAAAGATCTGATGAAAAAGTTTGGCTCGCAGCAACATGTATCCAAGATCAAGAAAATTATAAAAGGTGAACCGCAACAACTTGTGCTAGAAGAACATGAATTTCGAAAACTCATTGCCAGCGACCCGGCTTTTGAGAGTGCCGTTCCGAACGACCAGGTAGATGCTCTTTTTCATCGCCTTGAGTGTGACGACTGCAAACTACTATTGCACCGAGACTTTGTTGAGTTTTGCCTACTGGATCAAGATCAGCTGTACGTTCTGTCCGTTTCTTGCCAAACAAGCGAGATACGCTGACTAACTTGATGCGATTTTGCCTCAGCCGATTACTGTTATTTAAGTATCGGAAACACCTTAAAAGTCTAGACTTGACGGACATTGAAATTGCAGATACTTTCAAGCGACTAGCATCCCCTGATGGTACGGCAATGGCACCAGAACTATTTCATACTGCCATCATGCGCGACGTAGATGTCGTGCTCACAACTGGGGTACGTCGTAGCCATTGGTAACATTATAAGATGAAGAGCTCACCGTCCGGAATAACTCTTATCAGGAGCTTGCTTTTGTTATGAACATTATGGATTCTGATCAGGATGGTTTGGTGAAATTAAATGACCTAGAATCTCTTCTTAAAGATGAAAAAAAGGCTGAAGAGCTAATTCACCCCGCTCTGGAAAATGGGGTCGTTGAACTCAAGATATCAACTAATAACTTGGAAGAGATGACGTTACAGAGAGGTCACTACATTCAGTTACATCCAAATCTGCAAAATGCAAGCGGTTCTTGTCCTATGTACCTCTGGTTTCGAAAAGCTGCGAGAGAAGAAGGAAAAGCTGCTATCTCAAATATAAAGCTCGCCTCGAGCTCTCGAGACACAGAGCTGGTATCCAAGGGTTACACTTGTTTACAGCAGGATATAAGCAAAGGCGGAACCTTTGGAAAGCACAAGTACATTTGGACTAGCCTTGTACCCTCAAGCGCACAGATGACCAATGAGCTGGTTGATTTGTCACTAACTAGCGGAGACTTAAGTGACGAAAATTCCGCGCGCTTATGGCTACCCCGCCATCGTGGCTTTAAACTGGTAGCCGGTAATTTCATTCAAAAAAGTAACAAGCATGGAGTATTTCTGTGGATACGACGGCGCCAGACGTTACTAACCGATTTGGCCGAACCATCCATCTTGAATCATATGATGGCATCCCCTCGAACACGGACAAGTGTTCACCGCCACTGTGATGATTTGGAATCACAAGTTCGAAAATGTCTAAGACGAAACTGTCCAATTGATCAAGATTGTTCATTGAATTTCAGTCGCCTTTTTGATGAATTCGATCCCAAGAGAGTAAGGGCTATCACGAAACAAGCGGTTTTGGCTGGAATTGAGACACTCGGCCTTAAAATGGACAAAAAGGTGGGATAAAGGAAGGAGTGCTTAATTTTTGATGTAACAAAGCTCATATGCTCTCGGTTTGATTTGGTGACAGGACTTTAGACTTGTATGGGAACGTATCAACCCATTTGGCGCAAAATTAATTTCCCTAGGGACGTTTACTCAATTTTTAGAGCTTACGGACTCTGAAATGTATGTATATGTTATGAAGGTTCGTTAGATTATTAATCGTCTAAGACTCTCGCTCCTTCTTTGTATGTACAACATAAAGTGATGATTTAGTGAACTCACTCCAGCGTACGATGACGACGCGATTCGGAAGCAGCGTTCCGAACTACCGACTAATATTTCAGTCTTACAATGCACTTGGGGATGGAAAACTAAGTCGATCCGACTTTCAGCGAATATTTGCAACTAATCAGCTGAGCTTCACTAATAGCGAACTGAGTAAAGTGATTCAGCGTTTTGATGTCAACAAAGATGGTTTTGTCGACTATTCAGACTTTTTGAGCTACGTTACTGGAGTTTGTGACGCGTCTGCTAGAGCCGCGAGACGAATTGCTGAAGCCGCTGACGATTTTCGAGTTTGGGCACTCGAAAATCAGAATAAAAAGCTAGCGAAAGACGGCATACTTGACTCAGCATCTGCATGGCGTCTACTAAAGCCCAAACACGGTCGACTTGATTCCATGACTATCAATCATGTCCTACGTCAGCGGAGCAGACGATTGACCGAGGATCAAATTTTCTTGCTGCAAGTGTTGATAGCACCATCGACAAATGGAGAAGTTAACCAGGCAGCCTTTCATGCATTTATCAATCACGTACCAAAAAAAATGTGCGCCTTTATATGTGTACTTTGCATTTTAACAGTTGCCTGATCAGATTTTTTTTCACACAGCCCGACGGTGGTGTATGAGCTACAAAAGCTGGTCGGCTCTGAACCTTTGAAGTCGGGCATCGATAAAATCTACAATCGTTTGAATATAGAAGCAAATGGAAAGTTGGCATTAGTTAAATTATCACAGCAATTGAATGCACTGGCAGTGGAAAACTTGACGCGTCAGGTTGACTTAAAGGATTTGGTATATGTGGTTCAGTTTACTGGGGCTTGTTGTGGAGGTGATGGTGCGGTGCTACTTGACCGCTTTCTTTCAGGAATCCGAGAAAACCAGGATCGGAGAAACATGAAAAGCGAGTTTGGCACGCACTATGATAGTCCTCAATTTCTTGAAGGGGTTAATTTACTCCGCGACGAGATTAAGCGATGTGCTAAAACTCCTGATGGCAAATTTGACTACATGATTCCATTCCGCATTTTTGATAAAGACAGATCTGGGCATATTGTTTTGTCTGAATTTGAAGCCGCTATTCGTGAGCTTGGCGTGAATAAGTACCTGAATGATCAGGAGATAAAAGGACTGATGCGACGATTTGACCCAAATTTGTCTGGTGCGATTAATTTTAACGAGTTTCTTCGATTTAGTCTTGCTGAGTCGTCTTCATCATCTAATCGAAGGCTTAATACTGTCATTTTGCCGAATCCCAATCTGCAACGGATTCTTGATGACATCGTTATAAATGAACGCCTCACAAATGGGAACGCAGAGGCGTTTTGTGGCTCACTTAAGAGGATGTTCATTATAATTGACAAAGATACTACCGGTCTCGTGCCTTTTAATCGTTTTGTAGAGACGCTTCAAGAGATGAGTATTGCCGTACCAAAGGCAGATATGGATGTCATTAAAACAATGTTCGGAGATGGCAAAGGTACTGAAAATGTTCAATATGAGCGCTTTTGCGAAGCGATAACACAAAAATGTCAACATTATCGAGAGTCTCAGCCAGCATTTTATATACCAGCGTCGGAAATTCTCAATTTGCTGGAAACATTGCATCAACAATTTACTCAATTGGAACCCAGTATTCAAGGTTCTGACATTTATAAAGCTTTCGGAGTGGAAAATAATATGCCTAAAAGCGTTTATGTGTCGGTTGACGACCTTAAAGACGTGTTGTGGGCTGTGGGCGTGCATCATCCTTACCTTCGGGAAGAACTTGAAGTAATAAAAATTTCATTTCAGCTGCACCAAAATTCTGAGTTTGATGTTGCGCTTTTCCAGAAGTTTCTATCTGATGGCCCGAGAGCTTTCCTTGCAGGCACATCTTACCTGTTCGACAACCACATAAAACGACTCTCCAACGAGTTGTTCTCATTTTTGTCTTCGGAAAAAGATGCTGGTGTGCGCTTATTCAGTCTCTTTCCAGAAGTCGATACCAATCTGAATGGAATAATGTCGAAAGATGAATTTTTGCATTTGCTCCAAAAAGCTGGTGTTCGCAAGTTTTTTGGATCAGAAGATGAAAAGCTTTTATTACAATTCCTCAAAGGAAATGGCGACGAGGCGTTATCGTACGCGGACTTTATTTCTTTCGCCAAACAAGCTGACCAGAAGCTCAAATCACTTGCTGATGAACAATCTGATACCTTACCGTGTAAGTCCCAAAGCGATGAAGCACCATATACTGTAATTGTTTCACCGACAATCGCTGACAAAACGTCAGCTGGAAATACTTCATCTAGCATTATTCCACCACAACATTTTGAGCAACCGCATGCCCTTTTGTTAAGACAGATTGGTAAATTGAACAGACTTTTACGTCCACAATTTCCGTTTGCAACATATTTTAGCAAGTATCGACTTGATCAAAATGAAACGAGGGTAACAGTTCAGATTTTTGAGAAGATCATCAATAAATTTTTGGACCGTTTAGTCATCCAGCGTGTTGTGTATAACATGAAGAACATGGACATTGAGCTATTGATACAATCTTATACTGTAACGAGCGACGAAGGTGCGTATATAGATTATGAACTCTTTCTGGGCGATTTTGCAAAAACACAAGAAAGTATCGCTGCAGCTTCCGCCGATCACGACATCAGCACCGGCGAAAGTGACGACGAGCTGTCTTGCAGTAGCGATGAAGAAAGCTGCATCACACTAAAGGTTTCCAAAAGCATTGGGCCTGTACTGCTCCAAGCAATAAAACATGTGCACAAAACCCCGGCAGAGCTACATGCGCTCAAATCATTGGTGAACACATTGAGTGAAGATTTATCTGCGAGAAAGCAATTTACTGTCAGCGAAACAAAAATTTATAAGTTGCTGACGACCCTTTCCTTGCGGCTTCGCAATACTGATGTAATAAAGCTTTTCACGTGTATAAAAACAGAGCTCCATGGTAGGACGGTTTTCGAAGTTGAACCGTTCATTGCGGCTATAAAGGAACAGATCGATATCGCCATTGGTCCTCAGAAGGAGGCACCAGCGACTGTCGCAAATGTAGATCTACCGCCTGTCGAAGTGAAGCCCATCCCCGCAGCAACTACAGCATCTTCTTCGTTACTCGAACCAGTTTTAGCAAAAAAGATCTATCGATGCTTTCTAGCCGCAGCTCAGCACAATATTAGCGGTCGAAAGTTACTAGAAAAATGTGATACTGCAGGAACAGGAACACTCACGCTACTGGAATTTCAAACGGTGCTTCGCCTGATGGGGTGTAGGTTGACGGATTCTGAACTCGAGGCAGTTAAGACTGCTCTTGGACACCCAATGTCTGCCCAAATAAATTACAACATTCTGGTCCAACAAATGCGACCAGATTCTCCTCAGCCAAGAACAGCGCAGAAAAAAAGCACTGAAGCTTTTCAGGCGTCTAGAAGCGCTGACAAGTTTCAGCATAATTCGATGAAACCAAGCTCAGTATCTCATAGTCACCATTTTCCGGCACAATTTGGCCCAAAGGCAGTGTGTACTAATGCACCTACATCTTTTGAAGAAGCGAAGCGCGTCGATAACTTCGTGGGTCATTTTTTTTCTGAGCTTTTAAATGTGCGGCGAATTGACTCAGCGACGCTATACCATAACTTTGAGCTTTATGATATCAAGTCCACGGGGTTCATTTTCATTGATGCATTTAGTGCTGTAATGAGAAAGCTAAATATTTTTTTGCCGTCTGATGTGGCAACGACTGTTATTTCTCGATTTACATCGGTGGTGAAGGAAAAATTTGATTACATCGACTTTTGTCAGGTCGTTGCGACTTTTCTCCAGCCAAAATCACCACCTCCACGAATGCAACGAGGTGTTCAAGCTTCCAGGACAGCTTCGTCGTCAATGTCTGATCCAAAAGCTGTACGCCCCGAAGCTTCACAAACACAAACCAGTCGTAAAGTTACCTCTGACAAGGTGACCATCGAAACACCATCGAGACAAAACAACGAGGTGGATAAGCAAGCTGTTGATGTTGTAAGATTTTGCTGATGCTTCGTTTTGTCATTTTAGGTGTTCAAGTTAAATTTTCCTGTGCCCGTCACAAGCCATCATCACCCACAGTCGAAAGAACCGCATCTTCGACGTACTCAATCTAGTCATGTTGATAGCAAGACATACTTTTGGAAATGTCCGGTGTGTTTTCACCAGCAGACTAGGCTTACGGCGACTTGCGAGATTTGTGCCACTTCAAATCCTTCCTCTGTCGAGTTTCAAAGTCCTCGTCATTGCACCACGTGCGGATTTAGAAACAAATTTGAGGCACGGACTTGCGAACTGTGTTCTTCAGCTCTGTGGCAACCACATATTAGCACCGGCGCAGGGGCATCATGTTCGCCATCAAAACAAGAATCTTTTCAACCGGCAATGAATGGATGGCTAAAGTAAATACACAGCTGGTAATTAAGTGTATCATTTAATTTGAAATCTCGCTTGATTGAATTTGGTGGTAATTCTTGTATATGTTTGTAGCGAAGTCAAAGTCACACAGCGGAAATGTAATGCGAAACTTTTTCTTTTTTTGAACAATGAAATTGCTACGCGTTCGCTGGACCCACCAGATTTCATAATCACCCATGCAAACGGTTCGAGCTCTGTCTCCTCGAAAGAAAAGAGGCAATGTTGTTGTCCGAAATCCATTAGGATACTGCCTCATGAGTCGTGTCTGACTCAGAATTACTTCGTTATCTGGCTCATGTAGCTCTAGAAACGTGCCACAATGGTTTGAAAGCTCGAAAGCTCCTCCACACTGAACAATGTAGCTCGTTTGCATGTACCCAACAGCCACGCATGTATTTCCTTTCCGGCCGTCCACATGATGGCAAGAATCGAGTGCGTTAACAGAATCATTGTAGTCCCAACAGGCTGGCCTCACCACCTTCTCCATCGAGACTAAACCCTGCAGTCGCCCAATGCATCCCGAATTGGTGTAATTTCTCGATACACTTACGCCGCTTGAGCTCAACGTCTTTTGTAGACGGAATGGAATCAAGTCGTCGTCAAGATAGCAACTCTGGTCAAAGGTCGAAGGGCGGTCGCCAATCCTACTGACCTGCATATCCAATGTTGCCCCGGACTCATCCACCAGTGATATTTTCTCCGCAATGTGAGTAGGATCCATGTATGCCGGTTCTCCAAAACGATCAATACAACAGTTGAAGGCATGGCCTCGACAAGGATCTAGCAATAGCCCAATCGAGTATGCTGTAGGCTCGACAAAGCTGCGCGAACAACAATTAGATTTGATGAACGAACGATTACTGAAAGTATAATTGACCTGTAGGTATCAGTGGTAATAGATGAAATTTGATCTCGGAATTCGACGTCTTCTCTTAACTCCTGCTGTTCCTTCGCATATTCCCGTTCTTCTGCTTCATCTCGCTTGTCGGGGGCTACAATCACCAGCTCTGGAGTATCCGACGTAGCCTTTAAGGCACTCTTTTCTACTAATAACACAGCTACTATCAGCAAGACTATGCCCTTCCTTCGAACAGAATGGGTTGTTCTTGCTATTGTCATGCTTAGCGTTCGCTAATCTTTAACAGAATGACTACTGACTACTTGGGCGTCTTTCCAGCAGAATTATCAAGTTTCATATCGGGAAGCCTGCAGGATAATGAGTGGTAGAGCTCGAAGGGTCAATAAGCGACCCTTGCCGCTCACACTGGGTCCTGTGGCTCCAACGGTTGCTCGTGCATCCAGTAATCAGGAATCCGTAGGCAACGCTAACGTTCTCGGCAGTGGGTACAAAACTACAGTTGCGGATGCTTACAGAAACATTTTGGCCAAGCTACGGCTACATCTACCAGAAGAAGTTGTTTTCTCTGATCCTCTTCGAAAATGTTTTCGCTCACATGTTGACCTCAGCGGCTGGCTAGTCACCGATGACTCGCTTCAGCAGCTTCAGTTTCACTATGATCACTTAAAGCATTTCGTCAAGTCGTCCTTTCATACCCTCACGTTAGATGGAACTGCTCATATCACTAAGCGGGGACTTAACATTATCTTGGAAGCAGCTCAAGCAAATGGGGATACACTTCGTGTCCTTCGTCTTAAAGATTGTCAGCTGCTGTCATTCAGTGGCGGACAGCTCCTGGACAGCAACAATTTGCCTCAATTTTTGACAGAATTGGACGTGTCTTCTTGTGAATGGGTCAATGACAACTTCTTACGCATTTTGTCTCGTCATTGCTCCTCTTTAACAAAATTAACACTTGCACGCTGCCGACGTGTGACGGACTATGGCATTGCATTGTTCAGCGAAAGTGAGGTGGTATCTCTGACCGTTTTGGATATAAGTTTCTGCCCAAAACTGACCGAAGTTGCACTGCTCGCTTTGCTTGGGGGGTCATCCTCGTCAATGGCAGTACCAAGTGGTCCACCTGTAACTTCATCATCAACTTCGGCTCGACTTCGCGATTTGAATGCCGCTGGATTGTCGTTGGTCGACGGTCTTACATTCATTGGTTTGCGTAAATGCAGTGCTTTGCACCTTGAGACTTTGAACTTATCTCACTGCTCCGGGCTACGAGCCGCTGCTTTGCAGCATCTAGGTCGAATACATGCGTTGACATATATTATTAAGCTGGATCTTTCACATTGTATTCTAGTAAACGATCAAATTCTCACTGCACTGGCCGAGGTGTGTACGCAGCTTACAACACTTCTGCTTGCATATTGCACAAGCATCACTGATTATGGGATTCAACGGCTCGTGGGCGACATTGTGGTGGCTCATGCTGATCAACCTGACCAATTTGAGATTCTATGCGACTTGGGCGGTGAAGATACAGCAAAAAAAAGCCGAAAGAATGGTTGTTGGCTTTTAGAAGTTCTGGATATCACAGGCTGCTCTCAAGTTACAAGTCGAGGGATCGTAGCCCTTGCAGCACGCTGTCCACTGCTTCGATCGGTCACACTTGACGGCGTGCGAAGACTCGACCAATCCGGTGTACGTGCTTTGCTTGACGGGTGCTCGGAGCTGCACACTGTACGATGGAGAAGTACTCTTGTACGAAACAGACCCAGCGAAGTCTATGCCCCAAAGACTTGTGCTGCATTCTTATCTATTCCTCATCTTAGTGAAGCAAGTCTTACGGCATTGGCTTGCAGTAGACTAAAGGTATTGCACATTGGCAGAACACAATGCGACACAAATGCACTAGCTATCGCCTTACTCAGGATGAGGACTTCTCCATCGTTTGTTAATACGCTGACCGATCTGGACGTTACATCACTTGGGACTGACGCACTGTGCGTGGCGTTAGGTAAATGCTGCACTAACTTGCGCAAAATTTGTCTAAGTCGCTCGCGATACTTTTCGGCTACAAGTTTTTTTGAAATTCTACGAGGCTGCTCTAGACTACGTGTTATTGATATCGAAAGCTGTGAGCAGATTGGTGACGAAACCATGACAGCACTGAGTAAAGCGCCATGCTGCTCGCATTTAGAGACGCTTATTTTAGCAAATGATTGGCAGCTTACTGACACTGGGGTTGCGAAGTTGCTGCGGCCTGCAACAAGTCTCATTCGCCTTGATGTGCGTCGCTGCCCAGAAATTTCTTTATCAGTACTGCAGGCTATGGCTACAGCACGTGGACATATCAGCGAGGCCACACGCGATGGCTTATCTCCGCGACATCCTAATGTCATTGCATTCTTGTGTCGTGAGCATAAACGTCAAAAGGCAGCACGGAAAATACTTCGCTGGCTGCGCTACAGATTGGATGCCTGCTTTAGTTCAACATCTTTTTTAGAATGTGCATTGGTATATTTTCGGCGACAAAAGAGTGCAGTAGTTCGTGTACAGCGTTGGTATCGACGAATTGCTGCCCAAAAGTTGCAGTGTCGGCTAATAGCTGAAGCTCATTGCCTTCGAGCTGAGCGATGCAACCTAAATTGGGCGTGGATCCGAGCCCTTTGCACATTAAGTCGTCGGTTGCGAGTATTTGTTCGCATCTTTGTGGCTGCTCGCGAGAGTGCTGCAATCCAAATTGCTAAGCAGCTTCAAATACAACGTAATCACGCAGCAACTGTGATCCAGCGATTCACTCGCGGATGGCTGGGTCGACGAAGAGCTATAGAAAAACGACACGAACAAGAGGTGCACTATCAACGACAAGCAAGGGCTGCCACAGCTGTACAACGGACTTTTCGACGGTATCGATCACAGAAACTCACGGCACAATTGAGAGGAGAGAGTAACAAACTGATGCAGAGTGCTATGCAACTGCATTGTACGTGTTTCGTAGCTGGACAGCACATACAGCGGATAGTACGAGGTTTTCTTGGGCGACAAAATGCGAAATGCTGTAAAGTGGCTGCGAATGAGGTGCTTTTAGTAAGGAACGATCGATGTAAGCAAATTCAACGAGCTTTTCGAGCTTACATGGCAAGAGTTGGGTTCCACAATATGATGCTTTATGGAGCCGTGGCGCTGCAGAAAATTTATCGTGGATATTGCGGTCGGTGTCTTGCACGCGTGTTTGTGCTTTATCATGCCTACGCGTCCAGTCCGCGAATTCTTATCTTAACAAAGTACTCTATTTACACACGCAAATTTGCGATTGCTTGGGCGCGCAAGCGTGATGCTGCTTTGGTTGTTGCGATTATGATACAGAAGAGGTATCGAGGATTTTGTGGGCGACGTGAGGCACGTTATGTTTTGGAATGTAAACGGCAGCGTTGCCGTCTTAAAGATACTTGCGCACGAATAATCCAGCATTTTTTTCGCAGTATAGTGTAAGTGTATTTGCATTTCGATCATGACTACTGAAATTTATTGTTGTCTATTCTTTCTATCGCGTAGCATTCTCGTGCAAATTGCTAGGTTTCGATCCCTCTTGCGTCTGCGACGATCGAGTGCGACCAAAATTCAAGCAACATGGTGGATGTGGCTCGGTAAGGTAGTGGCATCAGCACAGAGGTTGCGACTCAGTCGCCACAGACAGCATACCGCTATAATGGATGCGATTGGGGCACAGCAGCAGAACCGTCGACTGTTCCTTCAGCTGGGTGCTATGCACTTAATTGTATCGCACTACCATGCATCATTGGCTGCACGAGGTTGGCAGTCATCAATGCGCATCAGCTTACTCCATCGCTCAGCAACTAAGATACAGGCACTTGTTCGTGGTCATATTGGTCGAATCTATGCGTACTGGTTTTGCTATGAGCTTGCTCGAGCAGCGTCCAAAATACAGCGTGTATGGCGAGGCAAACAAGGTAAGAAGATGTGGCGTCTTTTAGTAGATGAGCGTCATAAGCTTCATCAGCTACAAATAAATAATGATCGGGCGGCTTGGTTTACAAAAAAGCGAATAGCGCAACATGCGCTATTTGCATCTGAGCGTGAAGCGCAGTACGCCGTTGTACTACAGCGCTGGTTTCGTACACTGGAGAAAAGGCACATTTTTCTCAGTATCCGTGATCATCAAAATCGGGAATTTCACAATCGTGCCACGACCCGGATGACCGAGCTTTCAGATAAATTGACAGGAAGTATAACATGCCAGGCTCAAGTGTGGCGCAAGTGCCTGGAACGAAAGCCAGAGCTTGTAGGAATGAAAGAAGAAAAGTGTGTTGCGCTAGAAAAGGAAATAGAAAAACTGAAAGCGACGTGCATTGAGGCAAATATTGGCTCAGCCCAGGCGTCCCGAGAATTAACAGAATTATTGAAACGCAAGCACCATGTTGAGCATTCTTGTGCACGCAGACAGAGAGCCTCAAAAGAAGTTAAGCAGCATATTCAGCTGTTTACGATGCGTGCTAAAGAACTTACGATTGAAAGCGCGCATGCGTCAAATTCCAGTCACCAACTTCAAAGAGAGCTGCATCGTTTAAACTTGAAGCTTCAGGAATTTCACGCCAATTTACAGAACTGCTTGTCCTTTGAACCTTTGCTAATGAGTAACGATGTGGAATTACTTTTGAATATACTGAATGGCGATGATTGATGTTTGTTAGTGGAAGAGACAATCAAAATAGTTTATTTTTTGAAAATAATCTCCATTTATTGAACTTGTGATGCTGTCCGGCCATTCAACAAGCGATCGAAGCGCCAGAAGCGGTAATAGCTCGCCTGAAAGCAATCATCAATAATGAAAATGCGGTAGTCAGACACCTCCACGAGCGCTTCAGCCAGGCTTCGATGAGATCGAAGACAGCACCCTCTGTGAGTACAATCATTTTAAGCGTCCATTCTTTGAAGGCAAGAACAGAAAAAATCTCTTTCTCTGGAAGAGGGGGAGCTAAAATGACCATGAATTTGGCTTTTCGCCAGACAGAGCAACAGTACGTCGCGCTTGCGGTACTTCAACAAGCATGCTGCTTGGTAAAATAGGAGTACCTCTGCGAAAGCGGAGTTCTCAACATAGAAAATCCGAAGCGACACATGTCGCGGATGTCCGCACTGCCTAGCCAGGCGTATTGCGGGTGTCCCCCCTCAGAGAGACGAGGGCTAATAGATTTACCTAAGAAGAACTCGTGTCGCCGCTTTAGCGTCAGACCCTTCTATGGAGGCGCCATCTTTATGCAGAGTTTTAAACAGGTAAAAATCGCATCGAGACCTTCCGCGTCCACCCCACCCTTTTTGAGTAAGTTGTGGTTATTAAAATACATACGTAATACAACTCTCGCTCCTCGAGGACCGCATCAGCAACCAGAATTGGAAGCCCTAGTAGCGAGTCAGAGGTGGTTGGGGTCTGAATTATGCTGACAAGAAAGAGACAATTTTCGGCTGCCGAGCAGCTTCTTGTACTCGGACATGTTTTATACGACTGTTGCAGCGGGGCTGCCGTAGCTTAGCGCTTGAGA